CCTTCAGTGCAGGTTTGAACATTTTTTAGAAACTTGCTTTCTCCTGTCATATGCTTAGAGCAACCACTATCAAAATACCATGAATCGACCGAACTTGCTTTCAAGGAAGTGTAAGCCACATGACATAATAGATCAGTTTTTCTTACCCACACTCGGCGAGTAGTCCTGTTTCTTGCAAACATTTTCCCTGTGGGACTTGATGAGACATGAACCATTCCTTTTCTGAGATCATTATCAAATTTATAGCAGCGTGGTCTAATGTGTCTCGAAATGTTGCAGTAGTGACAAATGGGAATAGACCTCCTACGTCGCTGTTGAAAGCCTGAAACTCGTTTCCCAATCACAGGTTGTGGTTCCTGTGTGACTTGCTCCTTCACAAAGACCGTTTTGGACGTAGAGCATTTTCCAGAAAATCCAAGTCCATGGTGATCACCATTAGCTTTTCCCATAGTCAGGATATGATCCAATTTGGAAGTTCCCAAGTTCATCATTTTCAACGTCTTCTGTGCATGCTCCAGTTCAGCTTTCATCTCAGCCTCCTTCCTCTCTTTTTCACCAATCAACAATTTAAGATCATCCATGTTCCCTTTCATACCTTCCTTTTCTCTAAGAAGGTCATTCACACGATCCTCCAAAGCCTTGTTCAGTTTGCATACTTTAACCCATTTTTCAAACATGGTTTTGTAAGCTTCCTGTATAGCATCTTCTGTGAGTTCTTCACCATCACTGCTGTAATCTGATTCTAAGTCAGACTCATATTTTTCTTTACTAGCTGATTCTGTCGCAGCAGTTGTTGTAACACCATCTGCAGCAACACTTGTGACACTTTCGGCTGAGGCACTTTCATCAGTAACAACATTAAAAGCAACATAGTTGCTCACATGATCATCTTCTTCTTGACTCCCCTCTGATTCCTAGTCACTCCAAGTTGCATTGAAGGACTTCTTTTTCTTCTTAAGAGTGTTGGCGCACTCGGCTTGAATGTGCCCGTATCCATCACACTCCCGGCATTGGATACCCTTGTTCTTTGTTTTCAGGTCAATGCTATTTGCTGCAGATTTGTTTCTTTGAGAATTGCTGGTGTTAGGGTAATTAGTGTTCCGATTGTTGATGTTGCCAAACCTTGGACTCCGGTTCTTCTTGTTGAATTTTTTCATTACTCTGTTGAAGTTTTTTGTCAGTAAGGCAAGAGTCTCTGCCAAGTCTTCATGATCATCCGAATCTTCTTCATGGTGACTTTTGTACCTCTGCTTGCAAAGCTATCTCTTTCTCTTTCTTGTCTTCATTTAAGTTCATCTCAAATGTGCGTAGAGAACCCATTAACTCATCAAGTTTCATGGTTCGAATATCCTTGGCTTCCTCGATTGCAGTCACCTTGTAAGCAAACCTCCGTGGTAGAGACCTCAAAGCTTTCCTCACAAGGTTCTCCTCTGAAATCTTCTCACCAAGGGCAAATGCCTCATTGGCTATATCACACAATTTTGAGTTAAACACAGAAATTGTTTCATGTTCTTGCATCCAGAGATTCTCAAACCTTGTAGTAAGGATTTGGAGTTTTGAGAGCCTCACGGCAGCCGTTCCTTCATGCGCCGTTTGCAGTATCTCCCAAGCATCCTTGGCTGTTTCATACGTTGAAATAAGCTTGAATTGACTCGCATCTACCACATTGAAAATGGCATTTAGCGCTCTAGAATTGTTGTTTGCCAACTTGTTCTCTTCAGTTGACCATGAAATTTCGGGCTTCAATTTTTCCTTCCCCTCAGAATCCTTTGTTACTGGATGATCCCAGCCAGTTAGCTTAGCCCGCCAAGCCTTTTCATCAATAGCCTTGATGAACGCCTTCATGCGTGCTTTCCAATAGGAGTAGTTTAAACTATCTAGAAGAGGAGGTCGTGAAACTGAGCCACCTTCTTTCAAGAAATCCATACCTGCTGTAACAGACCAAATCTCAAAATCTCACCAAACAAATGGTTAGTGAACTGCTCTGATACCAATTGAAATGTCTGTTTTGGTTACTGGTGTCACAGAAAGCTTTACAACACTTTACTGTAACACTGTTATAACGGAAATTTCGATATTAAGCCAGCAAATAAAAAATGCAAGAAACTAAATGCAGAAACGTAAAGAACACCAGAAAATGGTATCGCAGTTCGGTGCGCACACCTACTCTGCGGGGCCACGCCCAGACAGTGATCAATCCACTAAGTTCAAAAGATTATAAGGACCGAAACGATCTTACACACTCAACGACTCCCTCCTTGAAGTTGTTGCCGTTGCCTAGAACCTCCTTAGAAGACTTGATCAGCGAGCACCACTCGTCTTGATGGGTTCCTCCCGAAACCAACAAAATCTTCTTCCGAAGAACCAATTCAAAATATGTTCTCACAATCCGTCACAACGCATCAAGTGATTCTTGGCCTTACAATCTCATTCTCACGTACACAGTTCTGCAATCCTCAGCACACTCTCGCTCAAAACATTCATTCAGTGTATACAACCTAAACCGTGCTTCACCCAATCAAAAGACCATCATCAACATTCAAATCTGTCAACCATTAATTCACTAAGTCAACTACACACTTTCTGTAACCAAATCAATACGATTGCTGTGCCACCAAAACTTTCCTTAAGAAACTCCCTCCTTCTTGCGCCAGCCAAGGTTACCACCAAATTACAACCAATCTGCCTAAAATAGTTTTTCAAATAGTTTACCAAAAATAAGCCAATAACAAAATACACTAACATGATTTTATATGAGAGCTTTTTACTGCAGTAAAAAAATTAGATATGACTGTTTTGAAAGCTTTTTACTGTAACAAAACTTAAATTCTAAATTCAAATCGGTGAAATAAACGGGGCCTTTGTCTCTCTAATAGTGCTCCTCGGTAGGTTTGATCATTTAACTATCTTCTGAATCACCTTTTCCTTGCAAGGAAAAAAAAGAAGATTGAGAGGCAAACTCTCTAGAGGTCTACGGACGTCAGAATAAGATTGATCCATATTAGAGAAATTTTCACTTCTTCCAAAAGAATTTTGTTCAAAAATTAATAACTAATCTACCACAAATATTTTAGGTACATACACAACCCTGAAAAATACTACAAACCTCCATATCTGCTACGATTCTTAGTTTTTCATTGTACATAGTACTAATATATACATCACCGATTTTTTGTCTTTAATAGTACAAGTAACTTGATGGTATAAAGCTTGATTAATACGTCCATAGATACTTTGAAAACAAGGATCTTAACTGAACCTGCCAACTTTGAGTGGAACCCCACCCCCCCGCCCCGCCCAAATAAAAAAAAAAAGTCACAAAAGAAAAACGTTGGGATCGTTACATAAAAGCAAATAAGAGAAATATATATATATATAGAAGTGAAAAATGAGGGAAAAAATGGGTGAGAAAGACACGTGTTGGGGGAATCTCCCCACAACAAATAAGGTTGAGACATGTGTTGATGTAGCACAAGCTTAATGAGAAAAAAACTGATAGATGCCAGGAAAACCATTTCAAAGTCCATTATTCACACAAAATTTCAAAAATGAAAGAAAATGAGAGAGAGACATAATAAAATTATGAGAAATTTCAAAAAGAAAATTTTGAACAAGAAACTAAAATTGAAACTGTCAAACCTAAGGACTAAGGAAACATAATTAGAATTGGAATATGAAAATCTTAGGTCAACTTATTACAAATATGGAAATAACTAAAAAAGAGGAAAACGAACAAAACAAAACCTTTTGAAAGCTCAGTAACGGTTCGAGAAGTCATTAATGACCTAAACGATGAAATTTGACTGGATGAAACTTGACTGAAAAATGTTAGACGTCGTGACAAAATAACGAGTCTTGTTCATTACCAATTTCCACCAAAAATTTGACATCATTGGGAGTTCTTAAATTGCTTTGTTTAGCTTTAGGGTAATTCTAACATGCCATAAAGGTTAGTCCTTCTTCACCGCATCGTTAAACACCCTTAGAATTCCAAGGATAAAAAAAATGACAGAGACTAGAGTCCAGGGCCTAAGTTTCTCTAACATATTAAGATCTCATTTATTTCACAAATTTAAGTTTTTAGATCTAAGTTTATATAGTTAAAAATTTTCAAAAAATAACACATTTAATTTTTTTTTTTACTACAGTTAAAAATTTTTAAAAAATATTACATTTTAAATTAAATTAAAAATTTAAATTTATAAAATGAACCGATGCATACCGCAACAATATCGGAGGACTACGACTTCCATATCGAGATGGAGGTAATGATTAAATTATCAAGGATTTCTTGACCAAGACGTGTCTTGATAGAAAATACTCGATATTGAGATTGAGATTATTCAGACACGCATTATAAGAGGTCAAGCCCGTTCATCCACAGTGCAACACATGTCCACGATTATACAAGGAACTTTAAGGAATATTAGGGGATTTCTAACTATTTAAAAGAAAAATGGCAAAATACTCACATATTCCCAAAAACCCTAGTCAAGCCCGTTAATTATTAAATTTTCTCGGATATTACAGTAACCAGTGTAAAAAAAATGAAAATAATATCATAATAAGTAAAAGAACACTTTAAGACCTCGTTCGTTTCATTAGTTTGAACCACAACTCAAATTATTTTTGCTTCGGTGTTTACTCTCATAAAAATTTAAATTTAACTCTGTACTACAGTATTTTCTCTCACATAAATTCACTTTTCAACTTCACTCAAAAACTCGAACGAGTAAAATTAACGAGGCCTATTAATTTTGATTAATGTATGTTACATCAATAAAATGATGTGGTTAGGGAGAACTTTATATAGACACGCACAAAACTAGAAGCAAAAATAGATGGAAAGTAATAAATCTGATCAGCCTTTACAAGAAGTGTCCACACGGTAAATCAAATATAATAAGAAGTATTTTGGATCATGAAGACTTATTGATGTCTGATCGTGTTTCCTTACTGTACTCAAAATATAAATAACAACCGATCAAAAAAGGAAATCACAAGTTTATTTTACATAAATAACAGTAAAAACGACATCTTTACTTTTACATAAATAACAGTAAAAACAACATCTTTACTTTTACATAAATAACAGTAATAGTATAAACTGAATAACAAGAGAAATCAGAGCTCCATTATTTTGATCCAATCGGCTCAGGACTTGCGTCACACTGAAGTGGTAATCCACACTTAGTGTCAAAGAGACACCCAAATCACTCAACGAGCTGCAGAAGTCTCCTAATTCTCATCAAAAAAGTAGAGCGTTCTCGGAATAGGTGGTAAATCCACCTCCAGAGTACCTTCAAGCATTTGAACTACTTGACTCATTGTTGGCCTATGCGCTTCTTCATCTTGGATACACCAGCAAGCAACTTTACAAACGTTTTCAAGTTCTTGTACGTCAGCATCACCCTCCAACCTCGGGTCTAAAATGCTAAGGACATCACCGCCTTCGACTACTACGCTAGTGGCCAAACTTGGAAAGTACTTCGGCACTTTTCCTTCTGAATCTGATTGCTTTGAGTTTCTCTTTCCGGATACAAGCTCGAAAAGCATCATTCCGTAGCTGTAAACATCCGCTTTCGGTGTTATCGCCAATCCTCCAAGCCACTCTGGTGCCAGATAACCTCTTGTCCCTCTCATTGTTGTCAGGACGCGACTGAATTCTCTCCCAACAAGTTTCGCCAACCCGAAATCTGCCACTTTCGGAGAAAATTCTGCATCTAAAAGAATGTTTTCAGGCTTGATGTCGCAGTGAATAATGCAGTTTCTGCACATCTCGTGTAAATACACCAACCCTCTAGCTGTCCCTAAAGCAATTTGGTATCTTGCTTTCCATTCCAAAACGTTTGAATTCTTTTCATGGAAAAGGCGAGAACCTAACGAGCCATTTTGCATGTAATCGTAGACTAGCAACTTTTTAGTACCTTCAGAGCAAAACCCGCGAAGCCGAACAAGGTTAACATGTTGGATTGTTCCGATTGTACTAACTTCTGCCCGAAATTGCTTCTCTCCTTGGCCGACACTTTCAAGCTTCTTCACTGCTACCATAGAAGAGTGAGGCAAAGTCCCCTTAAAGACTGAACCAAAGCCTCCACCACCTAATTTCTCCGAGAAGTTCTTTGTGGCATTCTGTAGTTCTTTGTAGGTAAACACCGTCAAGGAGTTCTGAACTTCTTTTTGTCTTCTGATTTTCTTGTTTCTCTGTCTTATAACAGAAAATATAACAAGGCCTGCGAGAAGTACTACACTTGAGCCCACCACAACACCTATAATCAGTGCCTTATTACTAGCACTTCGAATCAGTCTCTTACTATTCATAGCATCCCAATAGTCGGAGGCTGCTAGTCGAAGGTAGAGAGTTCTTCCATTGTTGTCTCCAGCTTTGAGTTGCTCCAGATCTAAGAGATCGTTTGTCCAAATTGAACAACCATGCTTGTTGTCATAAGCAAAAGCCACGCAAGAGCAGTTATTTAAGCATGTCGATTCACATGCTGTAATATCCCCTACTTTCACAAATTGCTCACTTTCATGCAAAAGCATGTCAGGAAGTTCAAGGAATTTGTCCTTCTCACCACTTGAAATATTGTAGTTCTCGCACTGAAGTTTGGTCTTTCTAATGCATCCTCCAGAGTAGTCCTTCAAATCCGAATCACTCGGCGATTTTTGCTTGAATCCTGTCAAACAACTACACACATTAGCGCTATCTGTGCAGCTTCCATATGGCCCGCAAAAGGCATGAACTTTACATTGCTGTCTCGGGAAAGACCAAATCGTTCTCCACCCTTCTGGAGGCATCCACAATGGTTGCTGCAGCTGGCCAGAAATACCCATAACAAGTCGAGATATAGTCTTGGTAGTGTTTTCAACAAAGTATATGAAATAGCTCTCCTTGTCATTTGAAACATAGCTAAAATTGTAGAGACTATGAATGTTCACCCCAGGCACAAGGTTAAAAATCTCCCCGTTCCAAGTTCCAGTGTTCCAGAAGCCTCTAGACATATTCCACTCTATGACAAAGGAGTTATCCCTTGGGAATGGCTCAATTGAATAGCGACCAGGGGCAGGATCTTCTAGATTCTTCCATGCCGTGAGAACTTGCTTTCTTTTGGTCTTCTTGTTGTATCCAAATTTGCAACCAGGTAGCAAACTATCAGTTAGATGATAAAAACTCTCCCATATCGGTTTCATCTGTTTCCCGACGTGTTTTAAGACGAGGTTGCCGTTATCCAGAAGAACAGCTTCCAAAGAAGCAGACCTTGTGGAATTCACGTTTGTGGACCAAATTGGGACTTTGGACCCGTTGAAAAGAACTAAATTGCCATTTGAGATTTTCAGCTCCGAAGAAAATCTATCTAAAACTGGCTTCTCTCTATTTGCAACCCAAACTACAGTCTGCACTGTAACTTTCTTCCACCACATGCCTATATAGTAGTTTGGAGAGTTACCTGGCTTAAAGAATCCGAGCTCAAAGACCCCACCAGCAGATACAATGGTTTGGTGACCAGAAAGCGACTGGTTTGCAGAGATGGTATCAACTCGCAGGGATAGATTCGTCTCGAGAAACAAACACACGAAGAGAAGAACAAACATGAATCTTGGATTGGTCTTCATGTCCATTTCAACAAATATCTTTGCTTACAAGCTGGATTCTTCTAGGTCATGGAACTTGTATTTTATTATAGTGAAATAGAGAGAGACAGAAAGAAGAAGAAGAAGAAGAAGAAGACTTATAATAGACTTGAGTAAAACTCGTCAACTACTATTTTCATGAAGTAGAGATTCTGTTGTGTCCCATGATAACTGAGATATCTACCAACCTTATTGAACTGACTATAACGCCCTTAGAAAGTAGTTATTTTTTATTTTTTATTTTTAATATCGTACTCTCTTTTTACAGAGAAATCACACTATGCTTTTTTCCTACTAGCAAAAAAAATCACTGTTCTTTTTTCGGCTTTGCATGTTTGGTGCGGCTTTATCATATTAATGGATTATACTCGGTTCTGACTGTCTCAATTATTGGACAATTTCACAGTTAGAAACCAAGAATGAAGCTTTCACTTTATTTTCTTCCTCTTTCAGTTCGTTCACACATTTGCGTGTCTACCGATCATTGCTAAACAAAGTCGAGACAATATATACAAGAGATATTGATTTTAGCTCTCTTCTCAGTCGGTGAAAAAGGATTCACAAAAAGCCAAAAAATAAAAAATAAAAAAAATATAAGGTAAGGTCTTTCCACAAAGCGCAGCTTGACCCACCATTCACCAGGGCCAAAAGGAAAGCGAATATTTCTACAGAAAAATATATTTCCTGAACAAATGAACAGATAATTTATACGACCGTGTTGCTTTACTATATATATAGCATTACTTTAACAACCTAAAAATTGGAAAAGAATGTTCTCAAAAGATTGTTTACACTTATCTCCATGCAGTAATGACCATTTTTTATCAAAAGAATGCTTGGCTCAGAATTTGAGCCATCCTTTTACAACAACTCCAACAACCGCTTCACTTACAAAAAAGACAAGTCTTTATCCGAATATATAAAGAAAAATGGAAAAGGAAAAGAAAGAAAGAAAGAAAGAAATAGTGCAGCAAGAAAGGGAGAAGAAAGAAAGGGAATTTTTTCTTTTTTCCTAAAGAAAAATTAAAGTAAAAAGTAAAAACGAAAGAAGAGAGGAGAAAGAGAAAAGAAAGAGATAGAATGAGGGAGATGGAGGGAGGTAAAGAGAAAACAGAAAGAAGAAAGGAGCGAAAAGTGAAAAATAGAAAGAAAAAGAAAGAGAAAGGCAATAACAATAGAGAAAGGTAAAGCAATGTGTCCCTTTCTTATCTTATCTTCTTCTTTATCCGTGAAAATCCCAGGCAAATCCGAAACCAAAAAATAACAAGAATGAATCAAATGCAATTCAAGAGATTGAAGAAAACCCCGAAACCATGAACAGAGAAATCCAAAGAAGAATTCAAGAACTTTGTAGTGATCAATGGAATTACACAACACAGAGAACTTAGAGAAAATTCCTATCTGAAACATACGAGAAAACCCTAATTCCCAAATCCTCAGCATACAACTTTCTCTCTCTAACTTCTCTCTCTCTAATCCAGTACAAGTCTCTGTGGCATTTGCACTCTGAAAAACAGAAAAACAGAAAAACAGAAAAACTACGGGGTTATTGTTTTGAAGTGTGATTTGAGTGTAGTTTTTGAGCTGAATTTGAGTTATAATTTAAGATAAAGTTGTAACTTGAATAAAGTTGAGTAAAATTAAATAAAATTAGAATTTAAAAAAACGTAAACTTTAATAAAATTATAATTTGAGTTTAAATTTTTTCTGAGTTGTGTTGCAAAATAACAATCCATATAACTAAAAATAAATTCGTTATTGAAACTCAAATCTTATTCAGTAAAGTCTAAAATACCCCTAACACAAGACTTGCCAACAAAGCAATCCCATCTGTTCTTGACTTCTAACCACAGCATGCCACATAGATTTCACATTATATCTACTACACTTCGTTATAATTTCATTCCTCCTTTTTTATACACGAGAAAGACGGTTATGGGATTCTATTGCGTGGGACAGCAATCCGCTGTAGGAAAGTAAAGTTTATAAGTCATGGGGTTCTATTATTACGGATTAATTCAGTGTGCAGGAAAATATAGAGGTTGTGGTAAAAAATCTCAAAAAAAAAAAAAAAAAAAAGTTGTAATTTTGAACTCTTTATGCAAAAAAGAAAAACACTACAAGAAAAGTGGCTATTAGCGACAACAAAAAGTCGTTGCAAAAAAAACAAAGTCGTTGCAAATGAATGTTTAGTGACTACTTGTCGTCACAAATTTGTCGCTGCAGTTGAATAGTCGCAAAAATAATTTTTGTAACCACAACTTGCGTCGCAATTATATATGCAAATGAGTCGCGAATGAGTAAAAAATCGCTACAATTATTTCGTCGGGCACATTGTTAAGATGACATGGCATTAAGTATTTGCGACGACATTTTTCGAATTAAGTCGTCGCTAAAGATGTAGATGTTGCTGACGTGGCATATATTTTTTGTACCACATTTGTCGTTGCAAATAATATTTTAATTTTTTATTTATTTTTTATCATTTTAATAATTATAATAAATATAATTCCTTATATTAAATATAAATAAAAATTAAATAAAAGGAAATACATAATAAAAAATATAAATAAAAATTATTATGGGAAAAAGTAATTAATAAAATAAAAATGTAAATATAGTAGAAATGTACGGAAGTACAAATTGTTATATTAATAAAACTATAATCTCCTAAATTAGGAGCATCACTAGAATTATCATTGTTATCATCATAAGGATTTGGAGGCGGATGACCTGGACGGACATATGGCTCAGAAGGAGTAACTGCTGGGAAGTCATGTTGGGGTGCATTTGAGTGATGAAATTCTGCATCATTCTGATGCTCTCGTATAGCTGGAGATTTTGCTGATAAGTCCGTTGTAAGTATTCTTATAAGTGTAGGTCAGAACGTGTCGTAGAAGATGTTGCTGAGCGTGAGCCAGATGATGACGCATCCCCTCGATAAACTTTTTATGGGAGTGTGCGACCCACTCCAATCTTGTGTCCTCTGCAGGTGCCCAGAAACTGCTCCATAATATCCTCCTCGTTAATTGTTCCTACAACGGAGGATCCAGAAGTAGCAGACTGCGTCTCGATCTGCGTTTCTCTTTCTCCCTCCATCCGATGCTACAAATATTATAAGAAAAATAATTAAATACATAATGCGATTTAAATAAAAAAAATATAATTAAACATTACGAGTATACTGACAAAAGTTTGCTCAGCTTGGGGATTAACCCAAGTATCCACACGACAATGCATGTCCCCCCAGTTATCGATGACGGACATCGGCTGTTGAGTCTCTATGGTAGACTGTATAGTAATTTAAATGTATATGAATATAGTGTAATTGATTATCAAATTAACATTTATATTGAATAAATTATTAACAAATACTTACTTTCTTATCGCGATGTTGGGAGTATGACAGTCGACCATGAAAACTCGACCACTTTGGTTGCTACGATTAAGTTTATTGATCCCTAACTTTTTCTATTTATGATTACATTCAGCGTTAGTAAAATTAACCTTTATTATATATCTTATAAAAACAATATGTAAAATAGATTCAATTATCTGAAACTTGTCGGACATGAATCTATCACATTAACAACCCTAGTGAGCTGGATTCCTAAGATTTTTAGGAGGGTGGGCCCTAACTGCACTCTCATTTTGTGAACCACCAAGATCTTTGAAATAGTCATGGAGGTCGCTTTTCCAATCCTTATAACATTTTGCAGCCTCCTTGTCGACCACAGACCTAAGTATACCATCGTCGCGGTCATAATCGATGCTAAACCATTCCTGTAATACAATATAAACATGTTAAATGATTTTATTATATTGAAATTTAGATTAAATCAAAAAATAATAAAGTTGAATAATTTATACCAGCAGGCGCTGCTGAATCTCTCTCTTATGCTAGATGTCCACGTCCTTCTAGGCATCGTGGAAAGGCTCACAAACATCCCTAACATGGATTCCAACGGCACTATCGAACCAGGTGTCGTAGTTTCTAACTGCCTTCCAAGTACCTCCACGTTCATCAAACATGGGTGTAATCTTTCCTTCCTTTGCCACTCTGGCTGCGATTTGGTGACCCTTAGCCTTCCCTCGACCTCCACGACGTCGGCGAGGTGCAGCATCGGGTGCTGTAGATTGAAATATATTTAGTGATCAAATAATACTGATGTAATTAATTTAACAAATTTATAATTATGTTCTAATATACCTGACTCACAGTATGATGGCAACCCATAAGGATTGGGTGGAGGCTGCGCTCCCCCTGAAGAGCCAGCACATGTAGCGACTAGGCCAGACATGATTGCCTGTTAAGAAGTCATCCTAAACGTTATTATCTTATTTACATAATTCTTATGTTATATGAAAAATTATAATTATTAAAACAATAATCACAGTACATAATTTCTATTCATTGTTACTGTTAATGTCTTGATTGTTGCCCTCCTCATTTATGTCACTATCATCCTCAAAATTGTCAATGTCTTCTTCAACTAACTCTTCTTCATCATCCTCGACCAGTATATCAGAGTCTGAGACGACCCTCCTATGAGGCCGCCACTGTAACTTAAACTTTAACTTGTACTTACTGGGGTTTCTTAAAATTTGCGGAACATTTTTTTTTTTAATATAAGAAAGAATACTTTCATAATTTGTAACAATAATTTCAAATAAGTGAATCACTAAATTTCTTAAAGCTTTTCTTAATTTCAGTTAAGATAAAACGTTCTAAAAATATCTTTCAAACAGAGCAGCATTTGAACTCTTATTTCAAATGCTCTTTAAAAGTCTTTCTAAAACTAGCCAATTCAATCGGGCCATTTAATTTTGACTTTAAAACGGATTTCGTGAGAAATCTTAAATTCAAGTACATCTTAAAGCCCTTTTAAAATCAATCATTTAAATCATATACCTATACATATACATATGTACCTATTCAAATGCTCAAAACGAGGGTTGTTAGCTACAACCTCGGTTTCCTTAACATACATATGTACCTATACTTTTTAAACATACATGCTTGAAACCTTTAAATCATATATACATATACATGATTTTTCTTAAACTTACTGCGGAAGATAACTGCGTGAGCGGTATCCATTCCCATCTCCACCATTCGTCCGCCGCTTGCCATTGCCCTTCAAGAATTGCTGATAGG